TTTCCATCTGAGCTTGTTTCTCTGCATTGTCCTAGAATAAAATTAAAAGTCTTTTGTAATCAAGTTTCAATTGATGGTACTGGTTTAGATGTCAACTTACAATCACATTAATCAACTTACCATTTCTAAAGCCTGTATCTCTTCCATCAGTTTAGCTATATTGTTATTACACTGTTTACGAACATGTTCAACCTGAAAAAGAAATAGATTCATCTAACATGAGTACCGTAAAAATCATAATTGAGGCCGCACCCCTAACTGAGACATTGTTTCTTGTTGAAATGGACAAATTTTGATTCTAAACTTTCACATACGCGTGTGCCACACAAACCAAACCATTTTCAGGGCCTCCATATATTTCAGAAAGAGATATAGAACCTGCAAATGTGTACAAATCTATTTGTAGATATTATTTATTGTGCAGTATGTTGGACAGTGTGTATCTATTGCATATTTACTGTTTTCTGAAAAAAATTCCCATTAATACTAAAGTGAATGTTCTAATTAAAGCCGCATCCAGACTTCACGTATCTGAAGTCACTCATTAAAAAATTTAATTTTAATTAAAGCCTCAATTAGGATTTTTACGGTATGTTTTGACATTTCAAATTGGCATCTTGAAGAAATATCATCTTATTCTTTGCAACACATCTGCTGACATTTTAAATCAAAGTTATGTGCATCAACTACGCATAATGTTAAATCCTTTCACCAAGTTTGAAGTAAATAAGTCAACACATGCTTGAAAGCTGGTACCAGACTTGTCAAAATACCTGATGACTATCTTTGACCAAATTACAAAATCATCCCACATACATATGTATGTATCAGATAAGTATGTAGGTCAAGGGGAGTCACACCCACACACCCACACACACCCACACACCCACACCCACACACACACACCCACCCACACCCACCCACACCCACACCCACCCACACCCACCCACACACACACCCACACACACACCCCCACACCCACCCCCACACCCACACACACACCCACACACACACCCCCACACCCACGCACGCACGCACGCACGCACGCTCGGAATTGGGACTAATTAAACTAACATGGCCGCCATTCTCAAATCACAAAACAAGCTCACATGCATCAGTAACCCACTGTGCCAAGACAACATAGCAGGCTGATATTTACCTCCTGTTTTGTTCTTAATCCAGCTTCATTGATTAGCTTACTTAGTGCTTCTTGAAGTCTATGTAACTCCTGTGATTTTTGTTGTTCTCTTATCACAGCCTGTAAAAATAAATTAAATCCAAAGCTTTACACAAATACAATGTTATAGGTGCTGCTTTGCGTGGTATTCTCTCAAAATGAGTTTGTGTCACACTGCCCTCCTTTAGCCATAAATATGTTCAGCAAAACAATCAGCAACTTAGCTGGCAATGATTATGTATGAAACAAGAGTGCAGTGTTGAAAACACATGTTAGATGTAAGACAAGACATAAATGTCACAGTCCCCGTTAATTAATTATAAAAAACTCATGTTAAAATAATACATGGAACATCTGCAAACAAATGAATTAATATGTACTCTATATGGGTGCAACTCATCATAAAGTGATTTCCCTTAATCTAGTTATACTGATAACTGAAAACACAATGGACACAAGCTTTTCAGTCATCTAGTCATTTAAGACCACAGTACATAGACACAAGCTTTTCAGTCATTTAGAACACAGTACATGGACACAAGCTTTTCAGTCATCTAGTCATTTAGACCACAGTACATGGACACCAGCTTTTCAGTCATCTAGTCATTTAGAGCACAGTACATGGACACAAGCTTTTCAGTCATCTAGTCATTTAGATCACAGTGCATGGACACAAGCTTTTCAGTCATTTAGACCACAGTACATGGACACAAGCTTTTCAGTCATCTAGTCATTTAGACCACAGTACATGGACACAAGCGTTTCAGTCATCTAGTCATTTAGACCACAGTACATGGACACAAGCTTTTCAGTCATCTAGTCATTTTGAGCACAGTACATGGACACAAGCTTTTCAGTCATTTAGACCACAGTACATGGACATAAGCTTTTCAGTCATTTAGACCACAGTACATGGACATAAGCTTTTCAGTCATTTAGACCACAGTACATGGACACAAGCTTTTCAGTCATTTAGACCACAGTACATGGACATAAGCTTTTCAGTCATTTAGACCACAGTACATGGACACAAGCTTTTCAGTCATCTAGTCATTTAGACCACAGTGCATGGACACAAGCTTTTCAGTCATTTAGACCACAGTACATGGACACAAGCTTTTCAGTCATCTAGTCATTTAGACCACAGTACATGGACACAAGCGTTTCAGTCATCTAGTCATTTAGACCACAGTACATGGACACAAGCTTTTCAGTCATCTAGTCATTTTGAGCACAGTACATGGACACAAGCTTTTCAGTCATTTAGACCACAGTACATGGACATAAGCTTTTCAGTCATTTAGACCACAGTACATGGACATAAGCTTTTCAGTCATTTAGACCACAGTACATGGACACAAGCTTTTCAGTCATTTATACCACAGTACATGGACATAAGCTTTTCAGTCATTTAGACCACAGTACATGGACACAAGCTTTTCAGTCATTTAGATCACAGTACATGGACACAAGCTTTTCAGTCATTTCGATCACAGTACATGGACACAAGCTTTTCAGTCATTTAGACCACAGTACATGGACACAAGCTTTTCAGTCATCTAGTCATTTAGACCACAGTACATGGACACAAGCTTTTCAGTCATTTAGACCACAGTACATGGACACAAGCTTTTCAGTCATCTAGTCATTTAGACGACAGTACATGGACACAAGCTTTTCAGTCATTTAGACCACAGCACATGGACACAAGCTTTTTAGTCATTCAGACCACAGTGCATGGACACAAGATTTTCAGTCATTTAGACCACAGTGCATGGACACAAGCTTTTCAGTCATCTAGTCATTTAGACCACAGTACATGGACACAAGCTTTTCAGTCATTTAGACCACAGTACATGGACACAAGCTTTTCAGTCATTTAGACCACAGTACATGGACACAAGCTTTTCAGTCATTTAGACCACAGTACATGGACACAAGCGTTTCAGTCATCTAGTCATTTAGACCACAGTACATGGACACAAGCTTTTCAGTCATTTAGACCACAGTACATGGACACAAGCGTTTCAGTCATCTAGTCATTTAGACCACAGTACATGGACACAAGCTTTTCAGTCATCTAGTCATTTAGACCACAGTGCATGGACACAAGCTTTTCAGTCATTTAGACCACAGTACATGGACACAAGCTTTTCAGTCATTTAGACCACAGTACATGGACACAAGCTTTTCAGTCATTTAGAGCACAGTACATGGCCACAAGCTTTTCAGTCATTTAGACCACAGTACATGGACACAAGCTTTTCAGTCATTTAGAGCACAGTACATGGCCACAAGCTTTTCAGTCATTTAGACCACAGTACATGGACACAAGCTTTTCAGTCATTTAGATCACAGTACATGGACACAAGCTTTTCAGTCATTTAGATCACAGTACATGGACACAAGCTTTTCAGTCATCTAGTCATTTAGACCACAGTGCATGGACACAAGCTTTTCAGTCATTTAGACCACAGTACATGGACACAAGCGTTTCAGTCATCTAGTCATTTAGACCACAGTACATGGACACAAGCTTTTCAGTCATCTAGTCATTTAGACCACAGTACATGGACACAAGCTTTTCAGTCATCTAGTCATTTAGACCACAGTGCATGGACACAAGCTTTTCAGTCATTTAGGCCACAGTACATGGACACAAGCTTTTCAGTCATCTAGTCATTTAGACCACAGTACATGGACACAAGCTTTTCAGTCATCTAGTCATTTAGACCACAGTGCATGGACACAAGCTTTTCAGTCATTTAGACCACAGTACATGGACACAAGCGTTTCAGTCATCTAGTCATTTAGACCACAGTGCATGGACACAAGCTTTTCAGTCATTTAGACCACAGTACATGGACACAAGCGTTTCAGTCATCTAGTCATTTAGACCACAGTACATGGACACAAGCTTTTCAGTCATCTAGTCATTTAGACCACAGTACATGGACACAAGCTTTTCAGTCATTTAGACCACAGTACATGGACACAAGCTTTTCAGTCATTTAGACCACAGTACATGGCCACAAGCTTTTCCGTCATTTAGACCACAGTACATAGACACAAGCTTTTCAGTCATCTAGTCATTTAGACCACAGTACATGGCCACAAGCTTTTCCGTCATTTAGACCACAGTACATGGACACAAACTTTTCAGTCATCTAGTCATTTAGACCACAGTACATGGACACAAGCTTTTCAGTCATCTAGTCATTTAGACCACAGTACATGGACACAAGCTTTTCAGTCATCTAGTCATTTAGACCACAGTACATGGACACAAGCTTTTCAGTCATCTAGTCATTTAGACCACAGTGCATGGACACAAGCTTTTCAGTCATTTAGATCACAGTGCATGGACACAAGCTACTATTATACTATTATGTTCATTAATTACCTGATCTTTTTCCAATATCGCATTTTCAACAAGTTGTACACTTTCTCTTACTTGCATCGTTGCATCATATTCTCTCTTCTCAGCATCACCACTACATCAAAACAAAACAATATTGGTTGACACATTTAAGCAAGAAAAAGATCTGCACATATAAGATTTTGATTCTGTTCTGTTTTTTTATCTACTTATTATGCAATAGAAAATTCACTCCAATGCCTGTAAGCCTTTCTCAGCTATAAAGACACTGGCCCCCCTATGTATACAGTTATAAAGACACTGCCCCCCCTGTGTATACAGTTATAAAGACACTGGCCCCCTATGTATACAGTTATAAAGACACTGGCCCCCATATGTATACAGTTATAAAGACACTTCCCCCCCCCCCCCTGTGTATACAGTTATAAAGACACTGGCCCCCTATGTATACAGTTATAAAGACACTGGCCCCCTGTGTATATAGTTATAAAGACACTGGCCCCCTGTGTATACAGATATAAAGACACTGGCCCCCTATGTATACAGTTATAAAGACACTGCCCCCCCCCTATGTATACAGTTATAAAGACACTGCCCCCCCCCTATGTATATATACAGTTATAAAGACACTGGCCCCCTATGTATATAGTTATAAAGACACTGTGCCCCCCCCCCCCATATGTATACAGTTATAAAGACACTGGCCCCCTGTGTATACAGTTATAAAAACACTATCCCCCTATGTATATATACAGTTATAAAGACACTGGCCCCCTATGTATATATACAGTTATAAAGACACTGGCCCCCTATGTATATATACAGTTATAAAAACACTATCCCCCTATGTATACAGTTATAAAGACACTGGCCCACTGTGTATACAGTTATAAAGACACTGGCCCCCTGTGTATACAGTTATAAAAACACTATCCCCCTATGTATATATACAGTTATAAAGACACTGGCCCCCTATGTATATATACAGTTATAAAGACACTGGCCCCCTATGTATATATACAGTTATAAAAACACTATCCCCCTATGTATACAGTTATAAAGACACTGGCCCACTGTGTA